GGGAGCCACCCATACCCTCATTGCGAGAACTTTTGGTTGCTCCCGTTGTGCTGTAACTAACCTGATGCAACGTTACAGACAGACCAAGAACAGGCAAACCCAGGGTAACTACACCCAATAAAGACCGGTACTTGCGTACTTTGCACGATACCTGACACTGACGTCATCACGGACGAATGCCTTAGGGCTTATAATTAGTCGAAAGACAGTGGCCAGGCTCAAGGAATTAGGGCTTACAGACCTTACAGAGGACAGTTATTGACAGCGCAACATCGTCGTCAAAGATTGAGATGGGCCCGGGCTGTACGTTGTTGGCAGCGAGGTCGTGCCGTGTGTTCATTAAGATGCCGTGATTTTGCTTATTTGTGGGCAGGAAAGAACACCACTGGTCATCATTAACGGAAATTTGACAGCTCACTGTCACATGGATGACATTCTTCATCCGATTGCAATACCATTTCTACAACAGCTGCCACGTTATGTCCTTTATCGGCGTGACAACGTCAGTCCCCATACAGCCCGAATCGTACAGTACGACCTTGCAACCAACAACGTCAAAGTCGTGTTCGACAGCGACCACATCCTCCAGCCAACCGACAGAAACTGATCCAGGTCCTCCAAGAAGAATAACGACGTATCCCACGTGACGTTATCAGACTTCCTTTTTGTATTTGCCCAAGCGTTCTTGCTTGTCTTTTAAGCAGGGGGTGGTCATACACACTATTAATGTATCGTGTCATTGAACTTGAGCGATTGTAGGTGCGAGTACCTTTTGTCTATTACGTTGAAAGTTTGTTTTTGTTACCCCAACTCAATTCGGGCAACTGTCATGCCAATATCGGATGTTAAATGACTGTCATTTTAAATGTTAATTTCATTAATATGCCGTGATTTTGCTTGAATATTACTTTCTACAGTCGGCCATGATGTAACAACAATATCACTAACTCCAGGTCTCCGTAATATCCGCACAATCATTACATATTATTCTCTATAATGCGTTAATCACAGTTGGCCTGATTCTATCGCGATGGACACCACGTCTTCTGCCTACATTGGGCGATAACCAAGCTTCACATGACAGTAGCGACAGTTTCCACTGAGTCAGGTTAATGAGAGAGGCATCATCCTTTCATGCCGTCTATATAACTAATGTTCGGAAGTCAGCAGGTGCGATGACAGGTATGGCATGTTAATCAGTAAATGTACATCGCACTGCCTTCACCTGTCAAATCATGTTCCATTAGTTGTGTACTCAAGGACCGTTCCCACAAACACATAAGTAAATATATAATCACGTTAATAATAGGTGTTTTCTGTTAGTTTGGGAGTTTCTATAAGTGGGCTTCATTTAAAAGGGCTTTTCTCCAGGTATCGCTTTTTGTGATCAATGCTAATTATAGAGTTTCTCATCCACAATCAGACCATAGTTCACTCATCGAAACTGCCGGGCACAAGAAAGGTTACACCTATGTTTGATGGTGGCTAAAAATGGAACAACCAAGAAATGGTTTTTCGATGGTGATGTATTTCATACAGGTATGATGGTTGTGTTTTGGACCCTAAGCTCGTAGTGTTTCTGCGACTGTTTTCAACGAACTGAAATTTTCAAGTGCATTTTTTCTTTTAACCGTCTGTTGGTGTATAAGTCTTGTTAAGGTATCACTTATGACGATCCAGATGAAGATGCAGATAGGATTTTTCTCACCTAATACATGGATTTGTAAGTGCTGATTATTTGTGTTCCATATGAAGTTATCGTTCCGTTTAAAAAGTGTCCCTATTGCTAGTGATGATTAAATATGTGATAACACGTATTTTAGAAACATAAGATCGATGGACGACACGAAACAAACCTCCATCATGTGTCCTTATTTCGCAGAACGATCTCCTACACATATGATGATGAGGTCAATTGAAAGTTGGTAACTGCCGACCTGTCGACACTGGCAACTCTGCAATAGTTGTCACAGGTGACAACCGTCATAGGTCAGGGTATAGTGTGTCGGGTAGGTGTGTCAGCTGTGTCACTGGTCAGTGTACAGTGTGCCAGGTAGATGTGGCAACTGTGTCAGATGTCAGTGTACAGTGTGTCAGGTGGATGTGTCAACTGTGTCACTGGTCATGGTGCAGTGTGTCGGGTAGATGTGTCAGCTGTGTCACCGGTCAGTCTATAATATGTCGGGTAGGTGTGTTAACTGTGTCAGTGGTCAGTGTATAGTGTGCCAGGTAGATGTGGCAACTGTGTCACCGGTCAGTGTACAGTGTGCCAGGTAGATGTGTCAGCTGTGTCACCGGTCAGTCTATAATGTGTCGGGTAGGTATGTTAACTGTGTCATTGGTCAGTGTATAGTTTGCCGGGTAGATTTGTTAACTGTGTCACTGGTCAGTGTATAGTGTGCCAGGTAGATGTGTCAGCTGTGTCACTGGTCAGTGTATAGTGTGTCGGGTAGATGTGTTAACTGTGTCAGTGGTCAGTGTATAGTGTGTCGGGTAGATGTGTTAACTGTGTCATTGGTCAGTGTATAGTGTGTCGGGTGGATGTGTCAACTGTGTCACTTGTCAGTGTATAGTGCGTCAGGTAGATGTGTCAACTGTGTCACTGGTCAGTGTATAGTGTGTCGGGTGGATGTGTCAACTGTGTCAGTGGTCAGTGTATAGTGTGTCGAATTGATTTGTCAACTGTGTCATTGGTCAGTGTATAGTGTGTCGGGTAGATGTGTCAACTGTGTCAGTGGTCGGTGAATAGTGTGTCGGGTAGATGTGTTAACTGTGTCACTGGTCAGTGTATAGCGTGTCGGGGAGGTGTGTTAACTGTGTCATTGGTCAGTGTATCAGGTAGATGTGTTAACTGTGTCATTGGTCAGTGTATAGTGTGTCGGGTGGATGTGCCAACGGTGTCACTGGTCAGTCTATAGGGTGTCGGGTAGGTGTGTTAACTGTGTCATTGGTCAGTGTATAGTGTGTCGGGTAGATGTGTTAACTGTGTCACTGGTCAGTGTATAGTGTGTCGGGTAGATGTGTTAACTGTGTCATTGGTCAGTGTATAGTGTACCAGGTAGATGTGTCAACTGTGTCACTGGTCAGTGTATAGCGTGTCAGGTGGATGTGTCAACTGTGTCACTGGTCAGTCTATAGTGTGCCGGGTAGATGTGTTAACTGTGTCATTGGTCAGTGTATAGTGTGTCGGGTGGATGTGCCAACTGTCACTGGTCAGTCTATAGGGTGTCAGGTAGGTGCGTTAACTGTGCCATTGGTCAGTGTATAGTGTGTCGGGTAGATGTGTTAACTGTGTCATTGGTCAGTGTATAGTGTACCGGGTAGATGTGTCAACTGTGTCACTGGTCATTGTATAGCGTGTCGGGTAGATGTGTTAACTGTGTCACTGGTCAGTGTATAGTGTGCCGGGTGGATGTGTCAACTGTGTCACTGGTCAGTGTATATTGTGTCGGGTAGGTGTGTTAACTGTGTCAGTGGTCGGTGTATAGTGTGTCAGGTGGATGTGTTAACTGTGTCACTGGTCAGTGTATAGAATGTCGGGGAGGTGTGTTAACTGTGTCAGTGGTCAGTGTATGGTGTGTCGGGTAGATGTGTGAACTGTGTCATTGGTCAGTGTATAGTGTGTCGGGTAGATGTGTTAACTGTGTCATTGGTCAGTGTATAGTGTGTCGGGTGGATGTGTCAACTGTGTCACTGGTCAGTGTATAGTGTGTCGGGTAGTTGTGTCAACTGTGTCACTGGTCAGTGTATAGCGTATCGGGTAGATGTTTCAACTGTGTCACTGGTCAGTGTATAGTGTGTCGGGTAGATGTGTCAACTGTGTCACTGGTCAGTGTAGTGTTCCGGGTAGATGTGTCAACTGTGTCATTGGTCAGTGTATAGTGTATCGGGTAGGTGTGTTAACTGTGTCAGTGGTCAGTGTATAGTGTGTCGGGTAGATGTGTCAACTGTTTCACTGGTCAATGTAGTGTCCCGGGTAGATGTGTCAACTGTGTCATTGGTCAGTGTAGTGTTCCGGGTAGATGTGTCAACTGTGTCACTGGTCAGTGTAGTGTTCCGGGTAGATGTGTCAACTGTGTCACTGGTCAGTGTAGTGTTCCGGGTAGATGTGTCAACTGTGTCACTGGTCAGTCTATAGTGTGTCGGGTAGATTTGTGAACTGTGTCATTGGTCAGTGTAGTGTTCCGGGTAGATGTGTCAACTGTGTCACTGGTCAGTGTACTGTTCCGGGTAGATGTGTCAACTGTGTCACTGGTCAGTCTATAGTGTGTCGGGTAGATTTGTGAACTGTGTCACTGGTCAGTGTAGGGTTCCGGGTAGATGTGTCAACTGTGTCACTGGTCAGTGTAGTGTTCCGGGTAGATGTGTCAACTGTGTCACTGGTCAGTGTAGTGTTCCGGGTAGATGTGTCAACTGTGTCACTGGTCAGTCTATAGTGTTCCGGGTAGATTCGTCAACTGTGTCACTGGTCAGTCTATAGTGTGTCGGGTAGATGTGTCAACTGTGTCACTGGTCAGTGTAGTGTTCCGGGTAGATGTGTCAACTGTGTCACTGGTCAGTGTTTAGTTAGTCGGCAAGATGTGTAAATTGTCAGTGTATAGTTTGTCGGATATTCTTTTGCAGAGATTAATTGAAAAAATACATTGTCCCAGATAAATGAAATTCAGGCTCGAAGAGTTAAGTTGAAATAGTATCTGGTTTTGCAGCTGAATTATTATCTAATCGCGACACATAGTCTCAGCAACACTCTCCGCCACACACACACCCTACCACCACCACCCCACCCATACCGACTACCAACCACCGACTGACCCGAGAATATCAAATACTCCGGCCCTTAGATATTACTTTGCAAATATTGACTATCCCATGTTCACGCATATACTGCGTGACACGCGAGCTAATGAATGATATACCAAAAGGAAGAACAGTACTGCCATGGTGACAATGTTGGAGGAACATACACGTTCAACGACGTCATTGTAGAAAGGTGGCATATCAACCGAGAAACTGACACATTTAATTACAAACAATATCATAAGTAACAAACAATATCATAGTTCACACACAATATATAAAGTTACATAGTAGTCTTTCTGGAAGATCTGAAAAATGATTTGCAGCGATTGGAATAATGTCAACGATTAAACCCTTTTGTTTTGTTAATACATTGTAGATGTTTACACAAAAAATGCAATCCATATAAGGTATCATAAACGTAGATGACCAACAACACTATATATGTACAGCTAGCTTGATGAATACACTGTATCTGTTGCACAGACACTCGAGCAGTGACCCGCAAAAATACAAACTGTAAATATATCTCGCAGTTTTGTACAATTGTCAACGGTGGAATTGTTTTGAAGACGTAGAAAAAAATGTATTCTCGTGACTAAAGCTTCGGAATAAATAGTTTAGAATCATAAATACACTCAGACGTTATCGATCCTGAGTTCATTTATAAACTGTTTCGAAGGTCCAAACACTTGGATGTTTCGCAATACAACATATAATTTTATGGAATCTACTTTCGCCTTTGTGAATGATTATCTGGGATGATGGGACTGAAGTCACAAGACGTGTTGCTGCTCATTTGGTAGTATTCGCAAGGTGTTGCGTCATTTATGAATGACGTCACAATCGCCGTCAACTCTGACGTAATATATATTGTGATGTCACAGCTGCTTGCAAGATGCTGATGGCGTAACAGTATCTGGGGTGCGATGCAAACAGCAAATCGCTAGCAAGCGATGTCCAGCGATTCTCCTTAAAACGGGGAGCAAACGTTCAGCCGCTTACAATCGCGCCAATAGCTGTCTGGGGTTGCTTCGATCTCAACCAAAATGGCGGCTGACGGAAACTTGAGTTTGACAGCGGAACAAGAAATTCTTGACTGGATCAACTGGGAAATGGGCAAATGCAGCTAACATGCCAGCATCCCCATTCAGCTCCACATCTTCAAAGTAGTCATCAGTAGTCGTAAATTCATCTGTGCTTCTATCACGTTCTTCATTAGGGCAAGGTAACCAAGCGGTTGTCAGTCGCGCCGCCATTTTGGAACAGTGCGCATGCGATTGGAGGTATTGCAGACCCCGGATGAGCAATGCTTTTGCTTACACTAAGCGATTCGTGGCTTGCAACGTGCTCCTCGACACGTGACCTTGCATCACATCGAAGATCCTCGGAGCCATCTTTATGCGTGACGTCATATAAGGCCTATCAAAACTCGTCATCAGACGACTGGTCTAGGAGCATGATGTCATCTGGTCGGGAAACGCTTGGCTGTGGACATAAAATATAAAGCCCTTTGTGTAATTCTGATCAGTAAATAATTCAAATACATAAATACTGAAGACATTGATTGTACATAGAACCGTGTTTACGGTAGTCATGCCAATATCTCCGGCGATGACTACTGATACACGTGTGAATGGAAGTAGTTATAGGGCTGGAACATTTTCTTTGTTCATTAATCTGATTGCAGGACGGGGGACAACCGCCGTCAAGCGTGTTCATTATAATGGGTCAATGCTAAATATTTGGCCTTATTTCCACGTAAGTTCAATAGTATCTCTCTGCAATTGTTTCATTACCTCAAACATTTTGGGCCGAACGGAGATTAATACAAAGTATCACATAAACGATGAAACTAGATCTGGTCGTAGCAACAGATCAATACAAGGGAATCAATAACGATATAATAGCTCTCTGGCTCCGTTAATAGTCATCCCCATACATGAGTGAATAATAAGTGTTCCTGGTGATGGTCGATATACGAGAAGGGATGGACAGTCGATGGAGCGGGGTGTGGGTGATATAGAGCTAGATGTTGGACACAGAAATGATGGAAGAAAAACGACAGGACGAAGTAGGCAAAGATCGGGTTGGGTGCTGGTCACAGGTGGGTTGGGAGCAGGAATGGGAGGGAAGGCGAGCAAAGGGTGGGGTTGGGAGTTAGATGGGGGAGAGGAAAGGGTCAAGGATGGGAGGGATGGCGAGCCAAGGGTGGGGTTGGAAGTTGGATGGGGGAAAGAAGAAGAACAATGATGGGAGAAATGGCGAGCGAAGGGTTGGGGCTGAGAGTTGGAGAGAGGAGAGGAAAGGGCCAAGGATGGGAGGGGTGGTGAGCAAAGAGTGGGGTTGGCAGTTGGCCCGTGGGGAGAAGACGAACAATGATTGAAGGGATGGCGCGCCAGGGTTGGGGTTGGGAGTTAGATTGGGGAGAGGAAAGGGTCAAGGATGGGAAGGGATGGCGACACAAGGGCGGGGCTAAGAGTTGGATGGGGTAGAGAAGAAGAACAATGATGGGAGAAATGGCGAGCCAAGGGTCGGGCTGAGAGTTGGACAGGTGAGAGGAAAGGGTCAAGGATGGGAGGGATGGCGAGCCACGGGTGGGGCTGAGAGTTGGATGGGGGAGAGAAGAAAACGATGATGGGAGAAATGGCGAGCCGAGGGTCGGGTTGAGAGTTGGACAGAGAGAGGAAAGGGTCAATGATGGGAGGGATGGCGAATCAGGGGTGGGGCTGCGTGTTGGGTTGGGGAGAAGAAGAGGGACATGGATGGGGGTGGGTGGGTGGGTGGGGGTAAAACAGGATGGGGGTGGGAGAGGACACGAGTCAGGGGTTGGGCTGAGAGTTGGACAGGGGAGAGGAAAGGGTCAAGGATGGGAGGGATGGCGAAGCAAGGGTGGGGCTGAGAGTTGGACGGGGCAGAGGAAAGGGTCAAGGATGGGAGGGATGGCGAGGCAAGGGATGAGTTGGGAGTTGGATGGGGAAAGGAAAGGGTCAAGGATGGGAAGGAATGGCGACCCATGGGTGGGGGTAAGAGTTGGGCGGGGCAGAGAAGAAGAACAATGATAAGAGGGATGGCGAACCAGGGGTTGGGTTGAGGGGGTCAAGGGTGGGAGGGGTGGCGAGCCAGGGGTGGGGTTTTGAGTTGGACAGGGGAGAAGAGAGGGACATGGAAAGGAGTGTGGGGGGGAAGAGAGGTGCGAGCGAAGGTGGGGTTGGGAGTTGGACAATGAGAAGGACAGGGACATGGAAAACGGGGAGGAGGGGGGAGGTAAGACGGGATGAGCATGGGAGAGGACACGAGCCAGGGGTGGGGTTGAGAGTTGGACAGGGAAGAGGAGAACAATGATGGGAGGGATGGCGAGCCAGGGTGGGACTGAGAGTTGGACAGGGGAGAGGAAAGGGTCAAGGATGGGAAGGAATGGCGAGCCAAGGGTGGGGCTGAGAGTTGGACGGGGCAGAGAAGAACAACAATGATAGGAGGGATGGCGAACCAGGGTTGGGGTTGAGAGTTGGCCAGGGGAGAGGAAAGGGTCAAGGATGGGAGGGATGGCGAGGCAAGGGATGGGGCTGAGAGTTGCAAGGGGCAGAGAAGAAGAACCATGATAGGAGGGGTGGCGAGCCAAGGGTGGAGTTGAGGGTTGGGTGGGGGAGAGGAGGGGGTCAAGGGTGGGAGAGATGGCGAGCCAGGGATGGGGTTGGGCATTTGAAAGGGGAGAGGAGGGGAGAGAAGAGGAGAGGGGGAGGATGCGGACGCAAGCCAGGGATGTGAACAGAAGCAAGTCACAGGAGGAGTGATGAAGAAAGAAGCGTCGTAAAATATGCACTACAGGTATATAAAATCGACTCCCCACAGCAGCATCAACCTGTGTGTTGTCAAGGACTGAGTGAGTGAGTTGGTTTTAACGCCGCTGGAGTGTGGAGGCGTTGGTGTCAAAGATGGCACATAGCATTTCATACAGATCACGTCAAAGTCACGTCAAATTGTCGTCACATTACAACTGATCGGGCAATCATTTCCGATGTGCTTCCTTTGGGTTGTGGTGAATAGCTATAGCGTCCTATCAGGTATTCCGACAATTACAGTTCGCTCTTAATCAGTGAAGTTACGTTCTGGTATCCTGTCTAGAGAACGAATGTCTTCACTACCCATGCGCGGTATTATTGAGATTTGTACTTAGTCTGAAGCAGTTTTATGCTTCTGTTTATAGATCCGGGTGAGACTATATCCGCAGCACCCCCCACTCCCCCCTCCTCAAACACTCCGGGTCACGATGCTCATGGCAACAGTTTGTCTGTCTGCTTCATATACGTGATCCGCCGTATATCTGAAATATTGCTGACAGTGATCATAAAACAGACTTTACTGATTCGTTGAAGTATTTCATAAAATCACGCCAAATATCATGTCCTTCTCTTAACCGTAACAAGACTATTCTCACAAAACTGGCCACTACAGTGTTCGGGGGGTCAGATTCGGGAATTTCGCGTCACCGTACCCCGATTAAAGTGTTTAGGGGTCAGGCTCGGTGATTGCGCGTCACCGTACCCCGATTAAAGTGTTTAGGGGTCAGGCTCGGTGATTGCGCGTCACCGTACCCCGATTAAAGTGTTTAGGGGTCAGGCTCGGTGATTGCGCGTCACCGTACCCCGATTAAAGTGTTTAGGGGTCAGGCTCGGTGATTGCGCGTCACCGTACCCCGATTAAAGTGTTTAGGGGTCAGGCTCGGTGATTGCGCGTCACCGTACCCCGATTAAAGTGTTTCGGGTGTCAGGCTCGGTGATTGCGCGTCACCGTACCCTGACGGCGTCATATGTTGCCCTGAACTACTGCTGTGTCTCAACTACTTGCCGCAGGGACAACTTGCATATTGCTGAGTGTTGCGTTAAACAACATTCGAACACTCACTTGGTGCCGATACTTGAACAGTGATTAATCAATACAGCACTAAGAGTGCGCATGCACATAACATTATCCCTGACGTCAGATTAGGGAGATTAGGGCATAAAAACCGATAGCAAAGTGACAGTTTTACAAATGCATTTGCCCTTGACATGCGATGCATAGCTTCTGTACTCGCCTCTTGGGGTCTCCGAATTTCATATTGATTTATCAAAAACTTGCCATCATGTGCCACGTTTTGTATCCAAACGTCGAATTTAAAACGTCAATGGTGAATTATGGCGTATGAAAGCAACAAAATCCCGTTTACTTTTTGATACGACTGTTTTCTTATTCCTTAATGTCCTATTATCTATCAGTGCGCAGTAAAACGTCAATATAACGTCGACGGAAAACCCTTGCATGTTTGATCAACATCATTGTGTCAAATATCGAAATGTTATATTCCATTTGTCGACATTAAACATGAATTGTCAAGATTACGCGTTCAGGGAATTCTATCCACTTTGAGTGGAAACATGTGCGATATGTTATTTTATTATATGACATAACTAGATGTGACGTCAATGGGACGAAGACAGCTGACATGGAAGGAATACTACTAACTTTGGAATATCTTTTAGCAACATATGGAGAACACATGTTATTTAATGTAAACTTATAGATCTGTATAATGGCAATACTATCCCACTGGGTACCTATCCGTAGAGGTGATTTATAAATCCATCACTCCAACTAGTTTATATCAAAAGAAAATATCTAGTCTCATTTGCCAATTATTTTAAAAGTTGCTTTATGTCTAAGGGAGTGGAAATACCGCTAAGTGACAGTCGAATGAGAATAATTGGGTATGGACCAGCATTGCAGCGATAAACGCCGCATGGATAAGATGACATAGGAACAGTCAGGTCACACCTGATCCCGACATTAGACAACTCTGAAGGCAATGAAAGATCGCTAAGGCCCTACTTTGAAGGAAGTCTCAAAATAGACAGTAGTGCATCAGCATGCATGGTATACTCTTCATGGGGGAGCGGTCGTGTTGACTGTTCAGGTGTTTGACAACGTCAAACTCACAAAGAATATAACATGTTTTGGGATATTTTTAAATGTCCCAACGAGAACGCTTTGCTTCTAAGTGTTTTGGTGTCCAACTGCTTACCTCCTGATGCTAACATGAGAGAGAGAGGAGAGAGAGAGAGAGAGAGAGGAGAGAGACAGAGGAGGGGGAGAGAGAGAAGGAAAGGGAGAGAGAGAGAGAGAGAAGGAGGGGGAGAGAGGGAGAGATAGAGAGAGATAGAGAGCTCCCTTAACTTTTGGGGACACAAATATGTAATATGCTACTTATTTATTGAACTTGTGTGGTTCTTCACTGATTTCCCAGTTAGTTCTGTACGTACCGATTTCTCGCGCTTTTCAGTAGACATGAGCACAGGCTATAATTTCGTTGACAAACTTGCTTATTGAAGCAATGTTTCCATGTAAAAGACCTTGACAATCCCAAGTACAGGTATATATCGAACCTCATAGTAATACATAAAGGTACAAAGTCTTGTCAACTGTGCACATATCATTTTGGTCACTAAGCATATGCTCACTCAGTTATCCGGAATATTTTCATTGCGACTTTTATGACATAATGTTCTTGCAAACCTTTCTGTTGTTTGGGCTTAAGTTATATAGTCAACGCCAAAGTGAGTGAGTGAGTTGGGTTTAACGCCGCTTTTAACATTATTCCAGTTATATCACGGCGTGTCAGCCTAATGTGGGAGGAAAGCCCCAAGTGATGCAGGTCTCAGACGTTTACCACTTCGGTGAAACCCACGAGCACGGGCATGGTGCTGACAAACCTAGAAACATAATTGGGGCGAACCGGGATTCGAACCCACAATCATAGATTTCTGGCGTATATGCACAGCGAATCGCGGCGCTTAAGGCGACTGGGCCACCCGTGCTCCCCAACGCCAAAGAGGAACCAGTCTTAATGATCCGCCGAAAGAGATTCCAGCGGTGAAGGTTACACGAATGGATCACTGAAAATCATTGGTGACACCAGGTGTTCGCGAAAAGGGAGAGGGTGTCCTGTCCTATCGATAGCTAACCTTCCTTTGAGTACACAGTGACGGGAAGGCCAGAACAGTGTTCTAATGCTGTACAAGTCTGTTTCGAGTTCGACTAAGCTGTACATCCATATCAATGTTACGTAAATGCCTTTCCCACAATCAGCCAATGTGGTCACGTTGCTGTTCAATATATATAACACGTCAACGCAAGTGAATAACCAGTCGCCGAAACAGACGGGAGTAAAAGACAGAATAGCAGTGCAAATTATCTGAATGTATCACCGAGTATCAACACCCTTCTCGTGAACTTTATGCCAGTAGTTTACCTCTTATCTAAATTCGGTTGCTGCTACATCTACCGCTTCTTATCCTGTCAGAATATATCTTGGCTAGGTAATCAGATTACAGACCATCACACCATCTCATTAATAACCCTCCAGCTCTTTAGTGTTTTTTTTAGTTTATAATAATACGTCTTATGCGACGCGGATAACACAGTGACTGCTTGGAGCTTCTCTCGGTTTGGGAAAGGTATACGTATAGAAGAGGATTTTAGTGACATTCATGTTCTTTTACGTCACAGGTCATGCAAATCAAGTTTATCTTTGCAGCAACAAAATAACAATTTCAACATTGTCAAATTATGTTGCATAAATTACAGCAATGTAAGGCCAAAATAGAAACAGAAAATGTTTTTTGGGCATCGGGGCTTCACATTCAATCCTGCGCGTCAGTCCATTGCCAATGAAAACATATATTTCAAATTCCACATATCAACGTCAGAGAATAACCAGTGTTCATTATGAACAGATTCTATTGGGATTAAAGGGTCAAATAGTGGTAAAAATTATAAGATTAGATCACTGAAAATCAGTGATGACACCGGGTTTCAGTTACCTGTATTTACCTGTAACAATGTCCCCTTGTGCCAGTCACCTGCATTTACCTGTAACGATGTCCCCTTGTGTCAGTCACCTGTATTTACCTGTAACAATGTCCCCTTGTGTCAGTCACCTGTATTTACCTGTAACAATGTCCTCTTGTGTCAGTCACCTGTATTTACCTGTAACAATGTCCCCTTGTGTCAGTCACCTGTATTAACCTGTAACAATGTCCCCTTGTATCAGTTACCTGTATTTACCTGTAACAATGTCCCCTTTTGTCAGTCACCTGTATTTACCTGTAACAATGTCCTCTTGTGTCAGTCACCTGTATTTACCTGTAACAATGTCCCCTTGTGCCAGTCACCTGTATTTACCTGTAGCAATGTCCTATTGTGTCAGTCACCTGTATCTACCTGTAACGATGTCCCCGTGTGTCAGTCACCTGTATTTATCTGTAACAATGCCCCCCTTGTGTCAGTCACCTGTATTTACCTGTAACAATGTCCCCGTGTGTCATCCACCTGTATTTTCCTGTAACAATGTCCCCTTGAGACAGTCACCTGTATTTACCTGTAACAATGTCCCCTTGTGTCAGTCACCTGTATTTACCTGTAACAATGTCCCCGTGTGTCATCCACCTGTATTTTCCTGTAACAATGTCCCCTTGAGACAGTCACCTGTATTTACCTGTAACAATGCCCCTTGTGTCAGTCACCTGTATTTACCTGTAACAATGTCCCCTTGAGACAGTCACCTGTATTTACCTGTAACAATGCCCCCTTGTGTCAGTCACCTGTATTTACCTGTAACAATGTCCCCGTGTGTCATCCACCTGTATTTTCCTGTAACAATGTCCCCTTGTATCAGTCACCTGTATTTACCTGTAGCAATGTCCCCTTGTGTCAGTCACCTGTATTTACCTGTAACAATGTCCTATTGTGTCTGTCACCTGTATCTACCTGTAACGATGCCCCCGTGTGTCAGTCACTTGTATTTACCTGTAACAATGTCCCCTTGTGTCAGTCACCTGTATTTACTTGTAACAATGTCCCCTTGTGCCAGTCACCTGTATTTACCTGTAACAATTTCCCCTTGTGTCATCCACCTGTATTTACCTGTAACAATGTCCCCTTGAGCCAGTCACCTGTATTTACCTGTTACAACGTCCCCTTGTGTCATCCACCTGTATTTACCTGTAACAATGTCCCCGTGTGTCATCCACCTGTATTTTCCTGTAACAATGTCCCCTTGTATCAGTCACCTGTATTTACCTGTAGCAATGTCCCCTTTTGTCAGTCACCTGTATTTACCTGTAACAATGTCCTATTGTGTCAGTCACCTGTATCTACCTGTAACGATGTCCCCGTGTGTCAGTCACTTGTATTTACCTGTAACAATGTCCCCTTGTGTCAGTCACCTGTATTTACTTGTAACAATGTCCCCTTGTGCCAGTCACCTGTATTTACCTGTAACAATTTCCCCTTGTGTCATCCACCTGTATTTACCTGTAATAATGTCCCCTTGAGCCAGTCACCTGTATTTACCTGTAACAATGTCCCCTTGTGTCATCCACCTGTATTTACCTGTAACAATGTCCCCTTGAGCCAAACACCTGTATTTACCTGTAACAATGTCCTCGGGTTCCTCTCAGCCACCTTCCTCCTGCGACACACACGTGTGGCGTACGCCGTGACGATAATGAGCATGGCACCAGTTATCCCCACGCCGATCGGGATGAGAACGCTCACCAAGTATTTCTTGTCCTGGTGGAAATTAAAGCAGTAATGAATGACAACGTCCAGATAGAGAGGGGCCTACTTGGGAGAAGGGCACTTATAGAAGTGCTCCAGAAAGCTGAGACGACAACATCGTGATGATGGTGTCGCAGCAGTGGGGGCCATTACTGTGTTCCTTATAAAACATATTATATTGTACATGGTACTGGCCTACATCTGTCGGGACACATCATCATGAACAACAGCATCACGGGAGACGTCCACTACGCCGATATAGTAGAAGGTGAAGGGGGCAGCTAGAGTCTTTGCGTCAGATCCAATAACTCCACCATGTGCCATGTGCAATATACATATGTATTAAACCTATTAAACCAAAAGCTTGTATCAGCAAAGGTACAAATACGTAAGTCCAATGCAAGCTTTATTTCTAAGTGTTGGATCTATGACTTGATTTAAGCTTGATGTCAAAATGTTAAATCTGTGTCAAAATGTCGGATCTTTGTCAAAATATTGGATCTATGGTCTGAATATTATTTATTTAAGGTCTACGTGTTAGGTCAATGATATGTAGGTTAGATACATATCAGAACGTGGTTATAATCAATGTTGGATCTATGGTGGGTATGTTAGTTGTATGATCCGTTAGATGTACGATCTGTTGTATATGGTATGCAAATAGTATGTACATTTGATGTCAAATGTTTGTTAGATAATGACCTGTAAATTAATCCCTGTGTGTCAGATCAAAGGATCTGTCTGATAATATGCTATATAAATAGATCCATGTTTGTTAGATATATGATATGTTGGAAATATGGTATGTAAATTGATTTCTGTATGATAAATATGCGATCTGTAAATTGATATCTCTGTGTTAGCTATATTATAAGTAAATGGTCTACGTTCTAAGTATGACGTATGTAGTCTGAATGTCCGATCTATAGTCTGTATGGCAAAACTATGGTCTGAATGTCATGTATATCAAAATAGACAGTGACATGTTCGGTGTTTTTTCGGCGTGACTTGTAAGGATATAACCACTAAGCTCTCCCACCGCCCCTCATTCATTCAAGGACTTAAACGAAGATCTGGTTTTTGCAATATATGTGTGAATTGGCTGACTGTGTGCAAGCGTGCCACGACGTCTAGTATCGTTGTCTTTCCAATCACCAATCACTGCTCTGCCATAGATATGACTGAAGTACTGTTGACAGCTGCGGCGTCAAACAACATTCGCCCACTCACCCAATCACGTACGTGATAGTAGGCTGTGAGGCGTACAGAAATCGTCCAGACTCGTGTTTCTAAAAGCAATAACGATACATGTAGGCTTGTTATACTTTGTGTTCCAATGGAAGACATCCGTGTTGGTCGATGCATTGCTATGATCACTAACCAGGAAACCATACCTCGGTCATCCACATTCAGACAACACTCTGGGGGTATATGATTACTTGTGTCTGATCTTGCAACAAGATTCACCTTTTCAGGACCACGCAGTTGCCATTATTGGAACAACTAGACGACGTGCGGACGTCACAATATGGCCGCTTCTTCAGATATATCAGCTGATACGTTTAACGTGGGCTGTTTCCAACAATAAACTGATCACGGGGGATGTGCTTGTTGCGCACATATCGCAGTAGCAGCTCCTTCGCGAGACAATTACTTCCAAGACAGGAGAACATTATATTAGATAGAGCAGATGTATTAATTGTGTCCGGCGGCGGTGATCGTTGACTGCGCACTGTGGAGCTTGTAAGTTGACGCTGCTGGGAACATAAATCTGACTGGCTGTATGCCGAATTCCCTTTCTAATAGAAGGAACAGAATACGCCATTTTACATAACTAATTGGTGACATGGCATGTGGTCCGGGAAACCGGTCTCGCAGCACTCTTAATTACAAGAGGATTAAAGATGTGCCGGGAATCAGAGCTGACGAAAGAAACCTAATTGTGAACGTGACAGAGGTTGGTATCCGTTGAAACTAGACAGCCTGACGCTCCGTTTGGGGGATGGGGATGCGATATAAGGAGGGATGGGTGAGGCAAGGGGTGGGGGTGGAGACAAGGCTATAATGACACAAGCTGAGATAGACACACGGAGAACGACAAAGAGGAGGTGAAGGAGACAGGAGTTCTATATGCAGGAGACAGCAGATACGTGTGGTCAGAGTGCCCTCGGGGTGTCATGGGCGGCCATTGAGATGATCATAAGATTTATGATGGGAGTCCTGACTTTTCATGTGCTTCATCTTCTACTTATTGATGTATTAATAGGAGCGTGCAGATGCAGGAGCAAGGTGTATGGTCTCAGTTAGTAATCGTGTGACAATCAAATTTGCTTCTTACCCGCCATAGAACACTTCCAAACGGTCCGTCATCAAAGTCTAGAGGATCAGCTGAAATAAGAAAGACATCATTATACTTCCTAAAACAACATGGAAACAGCAACGAATCCGAAACATCCTGAAACAGATATTGAATGTTCTCTTCGGCCAGTTAAATGAGGGACTAATTGGACGTCAGCCATTCAGTCAGTATTTCAGCCACATAGCAAAGATGAACGGCTGTTCTGCTTACAGATGTATGGTTTCAGAGCAAACATTCTGTTTCATGGTTGTTGTTTTTTAAAATGGCCCTTGCAAGTATATACCTCAAATGTGTCAAATAGATGTCGACATACAACTTTTCAGGTCGATCCTACCAATCAGTCATGTATTGATCTTCATTCTGGGTTCATTGGAATATGAACCTTTCTGAGAGTTAGGGCCAAACTGAATTAACTGCAATGAATTTGAACTTTGAAATTACACAAACTGAAAGTCTATTCTTATATTTTTTATATCTTTATTTGGTACTTCGAATGATGTTTATATATAAAATTTCATTTGGTAAGTGTGACCTCATGTTTACACTGACGGTAATGCAACAACCAGTTGTATGGCGGGGGGATAGGTTCCCCAAACCGCGAGAACGTCTGCATGGCCAACATGCGCCACAGTAACAACAGATATTGTTAGTTGTGGTGTCTTTAGTTGTCGTATTCGGTGTTATAATAGGTTAGCAGGAAAATATTGGGCGAGGCGTGAGCCGAGCAAACAGTTTTCCTGCTAACCTATTATAACACCGTATACGGCAACTAAAGACACCATAACGAATTTATTATGCCGTAAAGTTTACACTATTTGGTATCTTTGTCGCACATGTCATGTCAAAATGAAAATTTGACACTTACAACCGGTATAAACGACAGGGCCAGTACACATGTTTCCGATACAACGCTTTAATGTAAAGATAAACGTTAACAATGGAATATATAATGCACTAAATGTGAACGTTTAAAGTTCTATAGCTAAAATGGATAGAATTATCATAAAAAATACCTGCATGTTAACAGAAATCTGCGCGCCATTGTAACTTGATAGCAGTCCGCGTTCCCCTAACGAAGGGCTGCTATCTATTCTATTGCTATGTGACGTCATTGGTGTCACGTGTCTTGTTTGTGACGTCATCCCATAGTTTGTTCTATGACGATGCTATTTGTAACTCATTGACCTCCGTTGTAAGCTTTTTTCTATATATTTTTTTATAAATATAGTCACGAACGTGGTTGCGTTAATAAATCATGTCCTTGCTCATCACAATTAATGGTATTAAAACACAAAACAGTGTCGAATAACGAATTTCTGTACCAGAATTTACATGTGAAATATGTGAGGTGGGTGTTGGAAACTTCAAAATGGCTGTTTCTGACGGTATACGGTCTCATATTAGGTCAGTAACAATCATCATGGATTTTTACTGACGGTATACGGGCTCATGTGAGGTCAGTAGTTCTGCTCTCTGATTGGCCAATCTAACTCTGAGGCATAATAAATTTGAATATTATCATCGTTAGTTATCTTCCTCTATAAGTCGGTCACAGTTACGGTGCATAGTAAAACATGTCCTTCAGGGCGCCAAAATGGCTGACACGATCAAGGTGACTGGGGTGATTTTCGAAGTTGTCAACGATCATGTGGCGATTAGCGTTTGTTATCATTGATAATTTGGCCGATCATTTAAAGATTTTTGTTAAGATGTGTCGAACAGGTGCCGAAGTTAATTAATAGATTGTTGCGTCAAAATGGCCGTCACGATAATGGTGACTGGTGAGATTTTCAAAGTTTTCAATGATCACGTGGCGATTGGTGTTTGTCATCATTGATAATTTTACCGATTATATAAAAGTGATTGTCAAGATGCGTCGAATGGGTGCTGAAGTACATTAAAAGATTCTTGCAAAGTGTTGTTGACTGTCATTGTCAGTCGAGTCACTGAGTGTCTAGTTTCAAAATGCATTTTCTTCAGAAGGATAGATCGTAGCTGGAATATTCGATCATGAAAATGCAGTCTGACATTTCCAATGTATGCAACTCAGTTCAAGATAAAAGTGTTATATAGTCAGAAACAAATGTTCTGCGTTTATTCATGCTGGAGAATGGCTTGGGGTTTCCCCGGGAACGTGATAGTCCGCTGGTGATGACGTTATTTAAAAAATACAGTCTCGTTCAAAATACCGTCTCGTCAAAATGTAATTCCTACGCATACGAAAGATAGTTTTCTGGTCATTTGACGAGAATATCGTCAATGGATAAGACATATATCCTGGAAACTCAAATATTAAAAAAATATTGTCATTGTGTACCACTTTCGTCTTTCAGACGACAACAATTTCAAAATCATTTAAAAAGGAAAATCAGTTTAAAATAGCCTTTTTGCTTATACGCTGATTTTATCCGGACAATGATCTAGTTCGACAATGATACGGATGGGTTTCAACGTCGCATTCAAGATTGTTGCACTTATATGGCGACGTGTCTGTACGTGTGTGTGTGGCTGCTTGTGCGAGTGCGGAGTTCAGCCACAGTTTAACACGAACACCCCACTCACATTACACTGACTCAGAACTTATGATTCCTTGTTATCTCCCCTTAATGCTGACGCCACCAGGCAGAGTAGCAACAAGTACCAATGGTTAACGTCTTTTGATATTATGCGGCCGGGGGATAAAAACATTGACCTTCTGCTCCCCGTACAGACGCTCTGTCCACTACACCACTGAAGCGGTCTGGTAATGCTACGGCTAAACTGAAAACAAACGCCCTGTCCACTACACCACTGAAACGGTCTGGTAATGCTACGGCTAAACTGAAGACAAACGCCCTGTCCACTACACCACTGAAACGGTCTGGTAATGCTACGGCTAAACTGAAGACAAACGCCCTGTCCACTACACCACTGAAGCGGTCTAGTGATGCCACGGCTAAACTGAAAACAAACGCCCTGTCCACTACACCACTGAAGCGGTCTGGTGATGCTACGGCTAAACTGAAGACAAACGCCCTGTCCACTACACCACTGAAGCGGTCTGGTGATGCTACGGCTAAACTGAAGACAAACGCCCTGTCCACTACACCACTGAAGCGGTCTTTTAATGCTACGGCTAAACTGAAGACAAACGCCCTGTCCACTACACCACTGAAGCGGTCTGGTAATGCTACGGCTAAACTGAAGACAAACGCACTGTCCACTACACCACTGAAGCGGTCTGGTGATGCTACGGCTAAACTTAAGACAGAGACCTGTTAAGTTTATAACATTCCATATTTAGGAGAAATGTACAGTTGATGTTGTGTATTATATCGCAAGATTTTAATATTTGACTCAAGAACGTATCTTAATGTAACCTTAACAGTCCACACATATGTCATAAGGTTAGCATGGGTCACAGGTCTCTTGAAGAAGACTTGCTCGCTCATTTTAGTCAAATATCAGCGTTTGGTTGTATTACAAGTTTAACCGGGCGAACGATAGGAAGTCATCAGTGCATGTGCGATATACTTCTTGACAATATATAAATGTCTTGTCGAACTGACGATGGAAATTTGTATATGGAATGTATTATATTACAAGTTTGTTTGTTCGTTGTTTGTTGGGCGGTGGGGTAGCCTAGTGGTTAAAGCGTGCGCTCGTCACGCCGAAGACCCGGGTTCGATTTCCCACATGGATACAATGTGTGAAGCCCATTTCTGGTGTCCTCCGCCTAGATATTGTTGGAATATTGCTCAAAGCGGGGTAAAACCTAACACACTCACGCACCTGTTCGTTGCTTAACGCCGCACTCAGCAATATTTCAGTTAAATGACGGTGGTCTGTAAATAATCGAACCAAACAATCAAGTGATTGGCATCATGAGCAATGATCTACTCAATTGGGATGCGATGACATACATCAGCCAAGTCAGCAAGCCTGTAGCTGAGGAATGAGAACCTATGCCTAAAGACAAATTCAAACCCGGATCTTCACGGGGGTACATCACATGTAAATATGTTTAATGTAAAGAATAATAAAATACATAATATGTTTCATATGAAGACTGGCACAATATTATAAAGAATGATCTTTTTTTAATAAAATCGAACTCAAGTCTGTTTTGTCTAAAAAAAAACCTGTGATAGCCCATAAAAAAGCAAGCGTTATAAAAACTGATGGCATGATGTCATATATTCTCTCTCAAAATAGTGAGTGAATGAGTATGGTTTTACGCCGCTTTTAGCAATACTCCAGCTATATCACAGCGGGGAACACCAGAAATGGGCTTCACACATTGTACCCATGTCGGGAATCGAACCCGGGTCTTCGGCGTGATGATCGAACATTTTAACCACTGGGCTACCCGACCACCCTCTCTCAAAATTGTAAAAAGTTAACGAAAATGTGCTTACACTATTTTCAAAAGTAAAATTCGTGGAAGGAAAGTTTTCTATGTCATATTGGTTTTTGGAGTTGTTTTTTTAACTGATAAAGTGTCAAATGTATTTTATTGTTTTATTAGCGTTTATATATGCAATGGGTAGATATAGTTTTTATACTGCTGACGAAGAATACAATATTGCTCATTCTAGGCCACCCAGATATAGTGTGATGCGGCTGCTTGTGACACAAAGTCCCATTCATCCACTCATAGGATCAACGTCTTGTTGCCTCGCTCCCTCTTCTAGCAAGTTAAGCTCCTAGGATCTCAGTAGACGAGAACAGTCTCCAGGATGAGGCTGTGTGTTGTAGCGATCAATGTACTGATGATTGTTATCTCGCTGACACAGTCGCGAATATTAGTATTCCTACATAATTCAATTTTTCTGGTAGATTTGCACAGCAAATGTGGTTACCTCTGTCGAAATCATGAAATATCCAAAGCGATATTGGCTGATCGATCGTGGAATGAGAATGTTATAGAGTGTTGGGGTGGCCATCGGGGCTGATTTGTGCGACTACAGGGCTGTGGATGCGAGTCCCTTTATGTGATGATTGAAGAGCCACACTGATAGGATCGGATCAAGTCCAGGCACTCTCATCAAACAAACATCTTTGAAGTAGTAAAGACAAGATTTCTGTAATTAAAAGATGTGAACTGTGTTTGGACATCTCCCTTGTTTGTTTAAGGCTGGTAACCACAATGATTGAATTGGCTTCCAACACAGACAAGGACCCCTTCCGATCTCGTTGGTTCATCTTGCAGGCCAAGACCCCTGGCTTTCCACCATAGACAAATATCAACTTCCAACTCGCTGGTTTCGCCTTGCAAGCCAAAACCCCTGGCTTCGTACATAGACAATGATCCTCTACATGTCTCGCTGGCTTCGTCTTGCAGTCCGAGACCAAAGGCTTACAATTGACTGCCGTAGTGCACGTAGCTGGCGCACGTCATTTACCGTAATCCTAGAAATAATGTACACGGGTTTAACGATAATTTCCTGCATTCGGAGTGAAACATTGTTATGAAACTTTGTCTGATAGTTAACTGCAATCTAGCATCTACCTTGAATCTGTTAACATTATGTTCATCTGTCTCTGGGGAAGCTAAGTCTAACTTCGGTGTGGGGAATTGTTAGCATGCCTCTCACGTTTTATTTAGATCTGGGGAATTGTCATTTAACCGCAACAACACATCTAATTTGGGATCTGGTGAATTGCTCTATATCTGAAACCTCACATCTGACTTAAGTTTGTTCTCGTTGCCCTGAGAAACCGTCCTCGACCTTCCGACTAGAGGTTTTAGCCCTGGGGCCGCAGGATCAGACACCTCGCTGTTCAACATAAGTACAATTCGACATGTTCATTCCTACGGCTTTTGATGTTAGATTCTGTGTCTTGGCTGACTGTGTTTATTCGTGGTTCCACAACAGGGGTTGGTGCCGTGATAAAGTACCACGACAAAGACTGTCATGCTGCAGCTCCATTGCAGAGGTTGTCATGCTGCAGCTCCAAGGCAGCGGTTGTCATGCTGCAGCTCCACGGCAGAGGTTGTCATGCTGCAGCTCCAAGGCAGAGGTTGTCATGCTGCAGCTCCAAGGCAGAGGTTGTCATGCTGCAGCTCCAAGGCAGAGGTTGTCATGCTGCAGCTCCAAGGCAGAGGTTGTCATGCTGCAGCTCCACGGCAGAGGTTGTCATGCTGCAGCTCCAAGGCAGAGGTTGTCATGCTGCAGCTCCAAGGCAGAGGTTGTCATGCTGCAGCTCCACGGCAGAGGTTGTCATGCTGCAGCTTCACGACGGAGGTTGTCATGCTGCACCTCCACGGCAGAGGTTGCCATGCTGGAGCTCCACGATATATGTTCTCATTCTTCCGCTCCACGGCAGAGGTTGTCATGCTGCAGCTTCACGGCAGAGGTTGTCACGCTGCACCTTCACGGCAGAGGTTGCCATGCTGGAGCTCCACGATATATGTTCTCATTCTTCCGCTCCACGTCAGAGGTTGTCATGCTGGAGCTCAACGATATATGTTCTCATTCTCCCGCTCCACGTCAAAGGTTCTCATGCTGGAGCTCCACGATATATGTTCTCATTTATCGGCTCCACGTCAGAGGTTGTCATGCTTGAGCTCTTCGATATATGTTCTCATTCTTCCGCTCCACGTCAGGGGTTGTCATGCTGGAGCTATACGATATATGTTCTCATTCTCCCGCTCCACGTCAAAGGTTCTCATGCTGGAGCTCCACGATATATGTTCTCATTTATCGGCTCCACGTCAAAGGTTGTCATGCTGGATGTGCAAGATATGCGTTCTCATTCTTCCGCTCCACCTCAGAGGTTGCCATGCTGGAGCTCAACGATATATGTCATTCTCCCGCTCCACGTCAGAGGTTCTCATGCTGGAGCTCCACGATATATGTTCTCATTCTTCCGCTCCACGTCAGACTGTTGGGTCCGGCAAGAACTGTGGGGCCGGGGAACAACCATTGCAAAACCTGTCGGGTCAGGGAACAAGCATGCCAAGAACTGTGGGGTCAGGGAACAAGCATGGCAAGAACTGTGGGGTCAGGGAACAACCATTGCAAGACCTGTGGGGCCAGGGAACAAGCATGCCAAGAACTGTGGGGTCGGGGAACAAGCATGGCGGAACAATCATGACACGTTACGGAACCATCATGGTTCGAACTATCGAGTTATTGAACAAGCATGGCAAGAACTGTGGGGTCGGGGAACAACCATTGCAAGAGCTGTTGGGTCAGGGAACAAGCATGGCAAGAACTGTGGGGTCAGGGAACAACCATTGCAAGACCTGTTGGGTCAGGGAACAAGCATGCCAAGAACTGTCGGGTGACGGAACAATCATGTCAGGAATTGTTGGGTCACGGAACAAGCATGGCAAGAACTGTCGGGTAACGGAACAAGGATGGCAAGAACTGTCGGGTCACGGAAGAATCATGTCAGGAATTGTTGGGTCACGGAACAAGCATGACAGGAGGTTACGGATCCACGAGGGGCAGGACTCTCTCATTAGCGAACCGCGGCGATGAGGCTTGCCTGACTACGAAATGAACACGGGATTAGTAGAGGTGGCATGCAGCAACCCTCCATAGCATCCCACTATAGACTTCCAAACAACAGCGTGGCCCTAATTGATGGCTATCTCAGCGGAGGAGCAATTTCCACTTAATTTGGGCATTTAAGTTACTGGCACATTTTTCTCGTATCAGTTTGATGAGATGTCCCATCGGTTTGATTCCACAGAAGAATGAGGTCAATAACACTGGCAGACTGATCAATCAGCAGTGTGTGTTGATATGGGTCTGTTAATACACGTATATCCCAACAACCAAGACCACGTCGGCACCTCCACTAAGTTAACAGAAATCTTCACGCATTAGCCTCCCCTTCTATATTTAACCATTGTTCATCTCAAAGTTCCAGCTACATGCTACGTGTTCCTATTGCCCTCTATCCCCAGATTCCGATTATCCCAACTGTAAGCTACCTGTTTAGATTATCCCCTATCCCCTGGTTCCGATTATCCCAATATCCCAGCTGTAAGCTACGTATTAATATTATCCCCTATCCCAAGATTCCGAGTATCCCAAAGTCGCAGTTGCATGTTACGTATTCATATTAGCCCCTATCCAGAGATCCCGATTACCCCAAAGTCCCAGCTGTAAGCTACGTGTTCATATTATCCCCTATCTCCAGATTCCGATTATCCCAAAGTCCCAGCTGTAAGTTATGCGTCATATTATCCTCCATCCCAAGAGTCCGGGTATCCCAAAGTCCCAACTGTAAGCTACGTGTTCATATTATCCTCTATCCCAAGAGTCCGGGTATCCCAAAGTCCCAGCTGTAAGCTACGTGTTCATATTATCCTCCATCCCAAGATTCCGACTATCCCAAAGTCCCAACTGTAAGCTACGTGTTCATATTATCCTCCATCCCAAGAGTCCGGGTATCCCAAAGTCCCAGCTGTAAGCTACGTGTTCATATTATCCTCTATCCCAATATTCCGACTACCCCAAAGTCCCAGCTGTAAGCTACGTGTTCATATTATCCTATCTTCCGCACTACTGTCGGGTGTATCTTCCGCCTGATCAAACACTGCGCATCAACCACTCTAAAGGCACCTTCCTCGGCGCTACTGTGTGGGATGAGGTTATCAGTCCCTGTACACATCACACAAACATGCACTGATATTCATGAGTTGGTACCCGAGAAGATCCGGGTTAGAAGTGACGTTCAGAAACCCATGCTTGTCATAGGAGGCCACTAACAGGATCGCTGACTTGGTTGATGCATTGTCGTCGTATCTCAATTGCGTAGGTCAATGCTCATGATGCCAATCACTGGATTGTCTGGTCCGTCCAGACTCGATGGTTTACAAACCGACGTCATATAGCTGGCATATTGCTCAGTGTGGCGTTCAGCAACAAACAAATAAACAAATTTCATACAAACATATTTTTCTTAGATTTCCATTTGTAATAGGATTCAGACAACAGGCATGATGATGAGTTAAAACCTTTTTTCCCCAATCTTTGAATTCCAAACTGTAATGTTTCGAAGTTTATACTTACTCCTTAATCAGGTGGATGAAGGAGTAAGTTTAGAGTCCGAAACTTTGCATGTCTCATAAGAAAGGAAATTGACATCCATAATTTCTCTTCCCTTTGTGTATTACCTCTAATTGCCATTCAAAGACAAGTAAAGTGGCATTCATAAAATATTCCTCTAGGAATCATTGGAACTTTAGGAATGGTGCGTATTCGCCTGAACCCGAAATATCGACTTTACCGAATTCTATTTTATTCCCAAACCGCAGATTTTAGCATTTTTTTCCAAGTGAATAGGGATGTAAATATGTCTAGAGCACATCGTATCTTATCAAAGCAGAGAACGTAATGGATTTATTCGGTATTACGCGTTTTGCCATACAACTGATTCACAGCAACACAAACATGAATATAAAACGTTAACATCAGATAATAACCAGTTTTGATTATTCACCAAAACAAATTCCATTGGATGTAAAAGGAAAATCAAATGAATGGATAACTGAAAATCAGTGATGACAGCAGGCGTTCGTGAAAAGGGTAAGCATGCCCCCCATATTCTGGGGTTTGTATTTTGTATGGAGACTAGATATTGTTTCAGATACAGCTGCAAATACAGACATCTTTTTAATTAAAACCATGAGCCGAAATGTTTTTTTCTAAAACACATTCCAATAATGTAATTTTTGTTCCAACAACTGTTTTTCAACAGTCTGAAGCATAATTATTTTCTTCAAGGATTTTCAGGGACATTTATTTTTAGAGATAAAATCACAGCCCTACTACCCCCTATCCCTATCCCCATCCCCAAGAATATCACATGGTCGGTTAGTAACTAAAGAAACCAAAAACCATATTTTAAATATGTAAATATAAATTCTTACCTAAACTATTGGGCGTGGCATGTCCTACCCGGAGATGCTGCATGAACCCCGTGAAGTGTCGTACCAAATACTCGTACTGCGCTTTTGTCATATGAGGCCGTGGTTTCTTGGTCCTAGTGACTGGTTTGTCTTTCTTTGCTTGTGACGTTGAGTTGTTAGTAGTTGAATTTTCATAAAATAGGTCAAAAGATTCTGTAGTTGCGTTGTGACTTACACTGGAACTGTTATCAATATTTGGCTTGCTTTCTGTAATATTTGTATTGGAAACCTCTTTTGATGTCGTTTCTGTCATCATCCTTGATGTTGTTGCTGGTGACGTTTCCGCTGTCGTCGTCGATGTCGTAACTGTTGTATTGTGGTCGTTGGTGTACACCCTTGTGTCATTTACTTCAATATCAACATCACTCATATTCCCTGAACAGTTGGTACATGCGATTTCAATCTCTGATTCATTCCCAGAAATGGTTTTGTCTGGATGCTTAATAGTCCTCTCATCAGCAGCTGTGACAAAACTGTCATGTGAGGAAGTCGATGTTGTTGTATTATCCCACATCGTGACGTTCCCAGCGGAGGCAACGTCCCAGTGCACGTGCACATGAAGGACCACTACCAGCAACACCGCCACCCAATGTCCTCTGAACAACCGCATCCCAAGGTTCTTCATTCGTGCAATCTGGTCACACAATTATGTACAATAGATGGCTTGCATATATCAGTAGGTGATGGTTCGCACCTCCTTGTCCTAGACCGAAAGATCACCTTTTTAATGTCGATCACTCTTGCTTTCGTGGTCCAAAGGATCACTTGTAGATCACTCTTGCTTTCGTGAACTGAAGGATCACCTACATATTGTTGACCACAATCACGTCTGTTCTAGACCAAAGCATGATTAACTTGGTGTTTTGAAAAACGAAGACCGCTTGTGTGGCGTTTGCTTGTAACACAATATCGCTTACACGACGCTGCTCTAGAAACAGACATCAGTACAAGTTCCCTCACACACAAGAAGCGACCCTGGAAGAACAAAAGACACTTTTGCTACAGAGATGAAGAAAATGCTTGTTTAAAATGTCAACTATTCTATTGAACAGAAGTAGAAAAATGCAAATAATAAAACGAACGCTGTTTGTCCTCGGGGATAGAACCAGTGTGTGTATAGATGCTGATAATTGATATCCTTATATGGATGACAGCAAGATACTGCCCGCGTATATATAATTATGGTGCACCAAGTACACATGAATGGGGATATATATTTTATCAGCTTCAAGATGCCTTTAAAAACATATATGTAAAAAGATGCTGTCGACGTGTTTTTACTGAAAGGTTCCTCTCCACGAGGGTGAAACCAAGATGTATGTATCTCTCAAAACTCACCGTTCACATAACAACAAGGCTTCTTTACCATATGATCCTAAATAATGCCAGAAGTCCATTGTCCACTACAAATTTACCGTTAAATATTATGGCAAAGAGTTCCGTTACTTGGGTGATACAAGAAGCTGACCACACTGATAGTTGAAAAACGGCTCATAAACGATCAAAGAAGTCCTTTATAATAAGTCAGTGCATTAACATTCCTCAGGCTTGTTGGTGCAGGGATGCTATGGATGAGTGAGTATGGTTTTACGCCGCTTTAGTAATATTCCATCAATATCATGACGGACACTCAAGAAATAGGCTTCACATATTGTACCCATATGGGGAATCGAACCCGGGTCTTCGGCGTGACGTGCGACCACTTCAACCACTCGGCTACTCGACCAGCTGTGAGAGCAGGTTTACTGGGTATTTCATAACAAGTAAGGCCACTCCTCTTTAGCCGTGGTAGATATCTTACAACCGCTCATCACAACACATCAACGTGGCGTCAGCTATCAGCCGCACAACAAATCACACAACACAGACAGGTGCGCGGCAACATGACCAAATGAAATTGCCGGATAAACTTCAGTCATCTGACAGTTGGCAGTCCTTTTATTCATGTAGGGCATCTTGCCGCAACCTAAGGAAATGATGGGAGATACATTGCCTTTTATTGGCAGTGGCAGGAAGGGGGTTGGTGTAGAATCGATAACAGCACATATACCGAAATGAGAGGCATATTATATGTGACTAGTGAAAGCACAAGAAGAGTACTGGATGAAACAGGCGCTATCGGTATAAACTTGATATGGTAGAGTTGATCTCATCATCCTAAAGAACATTAGAGGTGATAAAGGTTCCCATCGGTAGTAAATCACGAGCACGTTTTCAACTGATTTGATACCCCGCAGTGTTCAAACTTATTCACTGTTCAAATTAAATGAGGATGTCGATTTCTGACAGTCATGTTTTACGTTTGGTTCAGTCGATTAGTTTTGTGTGATTTTATAGTGTACTCGTTGCTATTCAGTCAACCTGAACATAATCTTCTAGCACATAGGGATTGATATCTGAATGTCATTTGCACTTTGGGCATATAAAGCTCGTTTCCAAAGGTCGAGATCGCGAAAATGTGAGATCGCGAGAATGTCCCTTACAGTATTCCATAGTCGTCTGTCCATGACCTAATTGGAGCATGCAAACAACTACAAATAACGCATGCGGCGTGAGCCTTGAAGACGATCAGTTACTGAAATGTCCGAGAAAAACCCAACACATTTGTCGTCAGTATATTTGAAATATTATGCACATATACCAAACTGTCAAATTAATCACATTCTGAATGATCAGACAAGCATCAGCACTGGTTGGTTTTTTATCATCGACAACTACCGGCAGGAAAATATACATACGTAAGCCTGGTTATATAATCACGTTTCTTATGACTGGCTGTAGTTAACGAAACAGGTATTATTAGAGTTGATTCAAAACAGCTGTGCGCCCACAATGCTAGTGCAACATTGCCGATACTCCTTATTATTCAAAATTTCCGAAAGGACTTGCCTTGTGCATTCCATTGTCAAATAATGCCTAGATGATAAAAAATAATAATATTAAAATTGTCAAAACAAGAAAACAACATGTCTAGATAATCAGATTCCCGAAACTGCCGAAACAGTGAAGTATAGGGACGTCTTATGATGTGAATCTAATGGTACTATGTTTGTTTGTTGTTTAAAGGGCAAATAAAGTGAACAGAATGATTCGATGTTTTTGCAAATATCAGTTTTCCTAGATACATTTCGTCAATTTCAGAGAGAGAAAAATTCATAAGATTCGTAGAAAATATTGACATGTCCAAGCGAAAGTCATGAAATCACACGCTACGCAATCGGCTTCAAAAACAAACCTATTTGAAGCTACCGGTGCAGCGGGGACAACCGTTTTTATTGGCTGTTATGCTTGCCGCGTTTGTTTATCTCGTTATAATTAGCCGTTATACATATACAAATGTACTGTTCTTCTATTTCTGTCAATACATTGTTGTATGTGGGACACGACCCTTGAGCTTGACATTGTGAACACTTAAGATAACAATCAACAATCGGTAACTAGCGTTAGATTACTATCGCCTAATGTTTGGGAAAACACCAGCTGCCATCAGCCCTAATTCCACAAAATGAATTCTGTCAGGGATTAATCACTGAGTGAAAAACTGAAGGCATATTCATTATTTTTGCTAAGGGGATGTAAGTTGTGGCCGCGGTAATCAAATGGATGAGCAGACAAAGAAGACGGGTATTACAAAATCCGAGGCAGAAACAGTCAGGCTGGGCGTCGGCTTAATCGTCATGATAGAAACTGTTAAAATTGCTCAGCGCGTCAAACACAGGAAACCCGTTTTAACCCCAGTGAGGCGATTCCTCCCAGTGGCGGACTATTTTGTTTCGGGAACGATTTCGCCTGTCGTATTTTATCATCTGTTTTGCGCTATTTCCGTTTTTAAAATTTAATTTTGGTCAAGCATTTGTGTTTACGTATGCAAAGTTGCTATGTTGACTTAACTTGCCCTTTAACGCCGTACTATAGTCAAGCTATATGACGATGGTCTGCAAACAATCGTGTCTGGACCAAGCAATCAAGTGACTGACATCATGAGTATCAATCTATGCAATTGAGTTAGCGAATCAAGTGACTGACATCATGAGTATCAATCTATGCAATTGAGTTAGCGAGCCTGACTTCCCGATACCGTCAGTCGCCTCTTACGACAAGCATGGGTTGCTGAAGACCAATTCTAATCCGGATCTTCATTAAGAAAGGCATGTGAGTGATCTGGATTTACGTCGCTTTGGGCAGTAGATGGGCTTGGTGCATCACAGGGATCATGATAAGGAGAAGTTTGATTCGAATCTGCTATCATCGAATCCCTGCACACACAAGGGACGCAATTATTGGCTATAAAGAAAGGAGGTTTGTCATTATATGTACGGACATGACTATTCATCTTCATAAGTAATTACATGACATCTTCAGATATGAATAACGGCATGACATACCCAGACATGGGTAATGAAATATGAAACATCAATGCAAAAGATAACCAGTCTTGATTATCCGCCGAAACAGATTCCAATTGGCGTAAAGGACAAAAAAATCTCTGAAAACTATATGAATGGATGACTGAAAATCAGTGATGACACCAGGTGTTCGCGAAAAGGGTCAGCATGTCCTGCTGCACCTGTAGCACGCGCCACTCACACTATTTGCATAAGTAACTTAAGTATGTGTTGCCTGGGGCGGCCTGTATACAAACCAAGACATCTCAAGACATGGTAACAACATGACATGTATGTCATAAGTAGAGGCCCGTAATGACATGGCATCAAGAGACATGGAAAGTTATTTGTGTTTCAGGAACGTGCATTTATTTCGATACACTTTACAGAGCAGAAATTCTGCGAACCAGCGTGCTAGTCCCTGGAAGCAGCGCCAACTCACATGTCGGTGGTCTTACCCCATGGTGTCAATAGTCAAGCGAATGTGCAACTAAACATTGTCAATCGGCTAACCCTCAAAGGACAGAGAGCGTTGTGTTGGTGTTGCCTACTCGGTTTAACCCCAAAGGGACGATAGCGTTGTGTTGTAGCCTACCCGGTTTAACCCCAAAGGGACGATAGCGTTGTGTTGGTGTAGCCTACTCGGTTTAACCCCAAAGGGACGGTAGCGTTGTGTTGTTGTAGCCTCTCGGTTTAACCCCAAAGGGTAGATAGCGTTATGTTGGTGTAGCCTACCCGGTTTAACCCCAAAGGGACGGTAGCGTTGTGTTGTTGTAGCCTCTCGGTTTAACCCCAAAGGGTAGATAGCGTTATGTTGTTGTAGCCTTTCGGTTTAACCCCAAAGGCGGTAGCGTTGTGTTGGTGTAGCCTACTCGGTTTAACCCCAAAGGCGGTAGCGTTGTGTTGGTGTAGCCTACTCGGTTTAACCCCAAAGGGACGGTAGCGTTGTGTTGGTGTAGCCTACTCGGTTTAACCCCAAAGGGTAGATAGCGTTATGTTGGTGTAGCCTACTCGGTTTAACCCCAAAGGGACGATAGCGTTATGTTGGTGTAGCCTACTCGGTTAAACCCCAAAGGGTAGATAGCGTTATGTTGGTGTAGCCTACTCGGTTTAACCCAAAAGGGTAGATAGCGTTATGTTGGTGTAGCCTACTCGGTTTAACCCAAAAGGGTAGATAGCGTTATGTTGGTGTAGCCTACTCGGTTTAACCCAAAAGGGTAGGTAGCATTGTGTTGGTGTAGCCTACTCGGTTTAGCCCCGAAGGGACGATAGCGTTATGTTGTTGTAGCATACCCGATTTAAACCCAAAGTGACGATAGCGTTGTGTTGGTGTAGCCTACTCGGTTTAACCCAAAGGGCCATATTTGTGTAGCGTAGCCAAAGTACCGTCATATGTTTTTGGTGATGTTGTAGAGTTGACGTGTCACCCTCGTCGTTGTGGTGGTGTTCAAGTCATCGTGCTGGCTGATAGTGTGTTATCCATTCCTTGATCTAGGATATGTCAGGCCGGGAATGACTGTGTATAATGTATTGCCGGGCCTGGCCGACTCTGAGACGTGTGGCTGGCGAGGTGAGCCCACACATACGTAT